TTTCTGGAAAACCTCCGGAAACCCAGGGAGAACGGCAGGTTTTTGGAAAGAACGATGGTTGAAAAGAATGGGGAATCAACCCCTAGTAGAATGATGTCAAACCTGGCATAAACATCTGAAGACAGAAACCCACCGCCGAAATATGGACATCCGGGAAACCAAAAGGCTTAAAGGTCGCGCATGGGACACCCCAAGTTTGGAAAAATACACAACACGGCCCCAGCCCATTGCGAGGGACCCCTATGTATGGGGGGAGGGGGGACCCCCACATATACATTTAAGCTGCGACCACAATCCTACCGCACCCCGCCCCAATATACATAAAACTCCGCTTTTGCTGGGTTTTGCCCCAAACATCAGCAAGAGACCAAAGCCAAGCAGGCCCATGGAAGACCCTGAAAAACTCCAGCTGCGCAAAAAGAAACGGCGCCCACACACAACAAGCAAATTAGGAGCCCTCCTGAAAGACGTCCCACTTCACGCAAGTGATCAGCCCGACAAGTAGGCCCTGAAAGAAACAAGCTTCGCAAAAAAAACGGGGGCCACACACAAAAAGAAAAATTACAAGCCCTACAAACAAGATCTCACTTCACGAAAAGCAGCAGGCCGACCCAGCCGGCCAGCGCTAGAGCCTGAAAAAAACACAGCTAGCGCAACAAAACGGCAGCCACGCACAACAAGCAAATTAGACACCCTACGCAAAGAAAACAAATTTAAGAAAGCAGCAGCCCGACCAAGCAGACTAGTAAACGGCGAAATAAATCTAACCGCGCAAAAAAAAACACAATCAAGAAACAATCAAGTGGGTTAGTGACAAGCCCGAAACAATCAAGAAACAATCAAGTGGGTTAGTGACAAGCCTGCGGCTATCGGTCTGACGTAGTGGATAGCAACGCATTGCTCCAATTGCTCTGGGTAAGCCAGCTTGTTTGCCAGGATTTTGCATGCTTAGTGAGGGCTCCATGTATCTCAGAACCCACGATCGCCACGGGGGGGTATGGATCGACTTGAACCTTGGCCGGAGCAGGAAGTGATCACAGGGGCCCAGCTCAGTTCTGTTGCGCCTCGCTTACGGCGAAAAGCTCGTGCCCTTCAGCATGGCGCTGCGACGATGCGCTTGCTTGAGCTAGGAAACTAAACACCACTACTCTTTCGAACGAATGCTTCCTAGGGCTCATATCCGGCAGTGCGTTGATTCAGCGTCACTTGAAAGCAGTGAAAACACGTACTTTGTCTTCAGGGCGGCCCTACTCAAAGCAAAATGCAGCAAGCCCTATACTATACGAGCGGCGGTCGTAAACCACTTAGCAAGTAGATAGGGTCCGCGTCTGTACTGCTGACTTCTTGGCACTTACTTCTCAAAGAAGAGACCGAGGTGAGCGACACGATGCCCCAGAAGACGGTGGCGTCAGCAAGACTGACAAGCTTCCAAACAAGGCGCGCGGTGCTTCCCCCGAAGCAATCCCAGCGTTGACTTCGAAGCGAGCTGGAAGTTTGACCCTCATCACACTTTCAAATCTTGGGCCCTCTCGGAGGCGCGTGCTTTTACACGTGTGCGATGCAGGAGCTAGAGCTGTTGAACGTCGGGGGGGGGCCTAATTGGAGAGACAATTGTAGTGGGTGTTGAAGTAGGCCAGGGCCAGCCACTTGAAGCAACCTTGACAAAGTTGGCGGATATGTCCCTGGGCTTTGTCCACGTGGTCCGCGCAAAGATCAGCGCCTGTTGAGCAGCAGAAGCGTCTCACAATCAAGGAATCGGACACCATCGCCTCCATCAAGCCCTGGCAGCACAAGATGGAGTGAGTGACAGCCCTTGACAAGCTTGCTCAGCTACATGCCCACTTCAACACTCCGTACGAGTTCTAGGACATGTTTTTGGCAAAGCCCGTTCGCGGGCTGCTGCCGGAATGCGTGATGCGGATTGCTGGCACATGGGCCTCTAGAATCGCGCAGCACCTACAGTAATTTGAAAACATTCCAACACTGAGCCGCAAACTCGCGGACCTTTCCAGGTCCATTTGCAGCCATTTGCTTCTGTCTACCTACAATTGTGCCTGCCTTCCATAAGGCTGTGACTGTATATTGCTTTCTTAGGTTCTCAGCCTTGGCAAAGCGCTTAAGAATCTTGGGGCGGCAAACGTGGAAAATGTATTACATACATTCCCCCCCCCCCCCACTGGGCATACATTATGAAAGGGGTCCCCCGCCCATTGCAGGTGTTGAGCGAATCAAACGATTGTGCGTATTCCACACGAGCCTGAGACATGCTGACAGAGGAATCTTCGACATAGGGCCGGCCTGCTCAGGTTGAACATCTAGGTCCTCCAGTAGAGAGGTTAGAATAAGAGTACCCTTTTCTGTAGTCTATTTTGGTAGGGGAAGGCTCCCCAAAAAAAGGGTAAAAGGGCACTACTGATAAACCTAGACATGAAAGGTTCCGCGAACAAGTGCCCTAGGGTCGATCGCAGTATGGTGAGTATATGACCCCCAGGGTGAGGAACTGACCCCCAGGGTGCGGAACACTTCAAAGCGCATCACCGGAGATCCTCGGAAGCTCTAGTAACTCAAGGAGAGAGCGGATTGCTTGCCATGGAAAGCGGGAGCGCTTCATTCACCCAGCTGCTTGAGAAAAAAACAAAAACTGAAAGGAAAGACCTCCTTGAAAGAGACAAACCTCGAAAAACCGAAGATTGGTTTCGGAGGGGATTTGCTTGAATTTGGTTGTCCCAGCCACTATCAATCACCCCCCATTGTGAGGAAGCAGGTTCCACATTTACTGCTGCCGGGACAACGCAATTTTGAGGCTGCCGTTTTGGGGCTTTCAAGCGGAAGCCACCGAAACCTTACATTTGGGGTTCCTAGTTATGTCAACGACCGGCCTGCTGAGCTCGCGCAACCAATGCCATGAACAGGCGACCAAATCTTGACACGTGCGTGCCACGGAGCTGAGACCTGACAGCCTTCTCTTGTTGGTTCTCAACAAGGAATGACCTGAGTTTTGAGGAATACACTCAGGGGTCCCCTGAAAGCAAACCACAAATGATGGTAGGGGTCATTCCAACTCATTGCAACCGCCTATCGAACCGGCTTATTCTTCGGCGCCTTTTTCGGCCTTCGGCTTAGCTTGCCGAGCTCCACTTCCCGTGACAGCATGTTGAACTTGAAGGACCCCAGTCTGCTCACCATGGTCCTTGCTGACATGAATCACAAGACCTCGTACTAACAATGGTCCAAGCCCAGACCTATGTAAAGAATCAAAAAGTGCGGATATCCGCAAACCCATGCATGGCAAGCGGATTGTCCCTTGCTCTCCACTTGCCCGAATCGGTTTTAAGCAAGTGACTCACATGAAAATTGGCCACTTTTCTTGATGGAAAAAGAGGCTCTTAAAAGCTCCCAGCCTGCGCCACCTTGCTGAGGTTGGGGTTGGAGTTTGAGTCTACCTGGCGGAGGCGAATAAAAACAGCTCTGAGGCTCTGAGCAGCCAAAAAGGTCTGGTATGGAGCAAGATGCTGCTCATTGGAATCAAAAACATGCCGGAAGTCCAAATCGAATCTTGGCTAGGACCCGGCATAATCAGGGAATCAATCGACTCATCCCTGAAGTTGACTGCAACTACGCCGGTCCCTGGCTAACTCAAACGATGCTGAGCCCATCATGCCTGAGGACCTGTCTCTGGGTTGTGCACTAAGTTCCTCGACATCGAACTGTAAGCTCAATCTTCCGAGCGAAACCACCGTGCCATGAGCAATGCCCATTTCGGAGTAGCAGACCGGTCCAGATTCCTCCCAGATTTCGCCCCCCACTTGAGTGGGTTGGCCAAGCCGAACAAGGTCCAAACTTCTTGTTTACCTCTAAAGCGGTCTTCCCAAAAAACATAAGGAACTCAGGGACTCAGGGCTCCCAATCCAGTTGTGCTAGCTTTTCCATTGGGACTCAAGGTATCCCAAGTGGGGCCGCTCCCAGACTGCACCTGTGCGTGCTTCTTTGCTTTGTGCCCAAGGGAAAACACACGCACGCACCAAACTATAAAAGCGGGAACACTGGTAGAGTCAACATCAGAATGCTGAGCACTGGATGATCCACTTTTCAGCCCACATCATATTGTGCATGATTGTTCTTTGGTTTCTTGCCCTTGACACCAGCAAGCATGAAACCCCGAAAGACGGCTCACCTTTCAACCGAACCGGTGTGGGTGCCCAGCCCTAAAGGGGGCCGTGGGATCACAGGAAACCCTTTCTCGCTTCCAACACCACCGCCGCCGCCACCTCCACCAGCACCCAAAAGGTATAAAGGTATAACGCAGTTCCCTCCAACAAAGACACACCCAACTTGAAAGGGAAGGGCAAAGGGGCCAGCCTCCAGCCAGCCATGGAAACTGCTGCTTTTCTTCGCCGCTGCATGCGTCCGCACACAAAGGTGACCATTCCAAAGGCGTCTCCACCAAAAGCCAAGAGGTTTGCGGTTTCGATAGTCTTACAGTACCAAGCAAGCCTGCGATTTGACACACTCCGTCCTCATAGTCCATCTCAGTCAGTGCATAGTGTCTCCGACTGGTTCAATTCGTGGAGGTTCGCTCCATTTGGTGAAGGGCCTCGATGAATCGAGCATCACGTTTGTGATGTCACTGCCTGGTCGCTTTTATTCTGCGGACAAACCGTATTCATACAAACAAGCCTCGGGAAGATAGTAACTGAAACACCTGTTTCGTCGCAAGCAACTGAGCAGTCCCACAGTTAAACTGGCCGGGCTTTGCCCTGATTCTGCGCAGGGATGTGAGTAGATGTCCACACAACCCATGCTACCTGCACAAGCTTGGCCCTGGCTCTGCCAGGGACCTTGTCTTTCGCTAAGAAGTGGCTATAGTGGCAAATACCAAGAGCTGCTTCGCAGCATCCTGACAAGCACGAGCCACTCTGCAAACAGCCTGTTACGGAAAGCGCCCTCGGATCATCTGAAAGGCTAGAACTCGGTGTCCTTAAATGGGATTCAACTTCTGATGTATCGTGGGACCCATGAGATGCTCGTGGCCATGGCGTCCATCAGTTTTCGATGAAGGCAATGAGCTCATCGATGGACAGCTCCCCAGAGTCGTCCTATTTAAGGCGACGAAAGGCTTCGCTCGGAAATCGCAAGAGCTGCGCTTGAAGGATTCACCGTTGCGGGGCTGAGAAGTGGGAAGTGCTCTTGCTCTAAGACCACAGGAACTTGTCAATACGAGCCCTGAAGCAAATGGCAGGCATCTTCTACGGGTATAGGATGGGCAGTCGACACCATACATACCGAAGCCGAGCCACAAACAGAGATACATATGACACATGCTTGGTCGAACCACTCCCAACGTATGGTTTTGTAAACCCTCTTCACATTGGCCTGAAATAAACTCCCATGCCTGACGCAAACCGAAAATCCTGCATGAATTGCTGAGGTGGTTCTCAGCATAAGCCTTTCAACCAAAGAGCCAGCAATCTGAGACTGCCTTCGGACAAGGTGCACAGTCCAAGCTGGGTGGCCTCACCACGACATCCAAAGTCCAAACGGCTAGTCTCTAGCATCGTCTAGCAAAATATTGCTTCACCATGGGTCTAGAGCGGACATCCTTGAATAGTGTGGATGATGTTATTGTGCACAAATACGGCCCAAACAAAGCAGGAGTCACTCGCCAGGTTGTTGGTAATATTAGACATCAGGACAAAGCTGAAAATGGCTGATCTCCCCCTGCTGTTCACTCATTGTTCTCTTCAGAAACCACCCATTTTCTTCAAGGGACTGCCCACTTTCTGAGAAACATATCCCTGAGCAGCTTGGCAAAGGTACGGCTAGTAGAACGGATCCCCCTGGCTGAGAACAACGTCCTCGTCCAATTTCTCGAAGAGCAGCTGGAGATGGCTCTTGCGATCCTCAAGACAAGTCTTGTTGAAAGAGAGAGGCTTCAACTTCAGCTCGGTAAACATGCATGGCACACATTGTCTCATGTGGGTGTGGCTTTCTTTAGGGGGGCCCAAACAGTGGTTTCCCTTTCGGTTTCCCTTCAAACTGCTCCAAAAATGGTACCCTCAAGAAAGGACACCCCCCATGTAGAGCTAAGACATATAATGCGTACGTGCAAGTAAAGAGTAAAGAAGGCAGTACCTTCACCCCACGCGTGGTCAACTTGCCATCACTGTGCACCAGCACGAGCCTCCATGTGAAGCTTGTGCCTGCACATGTCGAAGAACCTGAGCTGGCTTGTCAGTGAGAAGATGCAACAGCAGCATCAGGTCAGCCCTTATCAGCAGCAACCGGACAACCTGAATCAGCCCCAGTAAATCAATGAACAACTAACATGTGCTCCTGGAGGCTCAACATAGCCAGCTGTCTGTTCATCCTGTTGTTTGTCCCCAAAAGGTGCTGATAGACGGTGTAGGGTGAAGCTCCTTCCGCTGTACGTTGTGCATCGGTATGGCATTGGGTCAACACATTCTAGTCGCTTGGAAGAGTGTTTTTTCTTTCTTTCCGGATCAAAGCAAACAACAAACAACCACTTATGGCCGTCCAACATAAACATCAGAAGCCCAAGACCATTTCAAAATGGCAAAACCTGCAGTAGGGGGATGTTGCTTTTGTTTGCACGAGGTTGCATGCCATGTGAAACAAGCAAATATATGCTACCTCAGCGGCTCATCCACGTCCATGTACCCAGACTGGTCCTGCATGTGCGTGGCGTCCCGATCTGTCGGCAGCAAAGTACATATATACTACAGGCCGACTGATTTGGCCGGCTTGACATGCAGCGGGCGTTTCCATGTGGGCTGCCAGGCACGCAAGCGCAATCAGCATACGTGTCGTGTCAGAGTGTGTTGCTGCTTCCTGAAACTTATATTTTGTCCAAGTGCGGGTGTATGAACAAACAAATCGTATGAAACAACAAACAAGGCAAACTATCCAAGAACAAAGGCGCCTGGGCGAATCTTGTTTAACGTAGGCTTTTCGGAGTTGTGCAGAGGGAACAAGGCACGCTGGCAATTTTCAGGGGAAACGAAACCCCAAACCCTCTATCCCGAGAGATACAGATCACAGGCCCAAGAAAGCCCCTGCCCGCTGCCCGGATGAGTGTCGTCTTTGTCCAAACTTGTCGGACAAACAAGCCTTGAACGGGTGCTTGGCCTAACGTCCTAAATTGTCCAAAACAAACCCAACACGCAACTCAATACTCCCGGGTGTTAAGTACGGGGTCTCAAAACATACAAAACAAAACGTTATCCACCCCACTTTAGTTCCCCTCTGGAAGAGTCAAACCTACAGACTTTCTAGCACCCAGAATCTTAAGGGGTTCTTGTTTAGACCTCTTCACCGTCCAAGCTAAAGCCGACCACGCGCCCCATGTCCTGGTCACACTCGTGGAAGAAATCGCGCCAGCCTCAGGCCATATCACTCCAGTCGGCTGCCGGCTTTCCGTGGGATATAGCCAGCCGCTATACAACCACTGTAAAAAGGCTATGTACCTTGCGATTTGAGGCGGGGAATACAGATCATTTTAGAATCAAGAGATTGTGAGATACAACCGGATAGGGAGCCTCTCATTCCATCCTTACCAGGGTACCAAGAGTCCAGAGCTTAGAAGAGGTTGCTACCGCAGGGATACCTGAAACTCGACAAACGTGCGAGCATAGATTTGTAGTATGCGCGACAAAAGCTATGAACCCGATTTCACGGTGAGAACAAGCAAAATCAGCCATGTGAAGGGCTGCTTTGACACATACCCACCTGGCTGTATGCCAAAGCAAAATTGGTCCTAAACATGTGCCAAGCACCATTCCATCCTATTACATCAGTGGCTTTGCAAAAAAGAAGGAGCAAGGTAACATCATATCATGTTGAACTTCATCTGGGTTCGATCTGCCACAAAGCACCCCTGGACAGGGAACCTCTGACAGTTGGACACTTTTGGCCTATGGAAATCCTGATGCCCACATTTGCCTTGCCAGGGTGACATGTAGACCCCCATGTCTTGAACCAACAAACTGTTCAAGCATCGTCTCTTGAGGTTCAATCCAGGGGAACAACAAAGTCAATCAACTTCTTCCAGGGTTTGGGTCATTGAAAACCTAGGCAACCAACATCGGCGCTGGTGTGTCCGCTTTCAACAGCTGCAAATGAAAACTAAATTTACACTTGCCAACAAGGTCATGAAACACATGTCCAAAGCACCTTCGGGGGCTTGTCATAATGGCCCCAATATTGAAAGGATGTTTTAGGGCACCGTATCCTGAGAAACATTTTTCATGGGACGGTGGAGGGGGGATTCTGTGGTGGAGTGGGGGGTCTATGCCAGGATTAGCCCAGGATAAACCCAAAATACGGCCCTTCTTCAGGGGAGAACAGTCATAACCATCTCAGATCTTCCCGGCTTCAAGCGCCACGCCGTTCTGCCCGTGGAGCGAAGCGGCCTGAACAGGTGATCAGCGGGGATGTTGGGATGAAAGAAACCCACTCGAGCCACGCGCTTCTTTAGTACTGTGGATGGACGAAACCCATTTCGCACCACCTAAGAAACCCTGCAATTCTGAGTCCCCTGTAAATACCAACAAGCAATGGTTTCCCATGGTTCAAAGTGGTGCAGGAGTCCGTCCATCCACAGTAGGACGGTGAAAACTGGGTCCCCCGAGAGGACATGAGAAGAATAGATGGTCCCCCAGCTTTGGCGGGCAATTATCTTGGATGGTCCCTGCCATCCTCCCGAAACCAAAGAGTAGACTCTCAACGACCTCGGCAGCAGCAGCCGTACTGACTGCATCTGACTTTAACAACAACAGAAACAATCTTCGCACAGTTTCAGCCGCAGGTATCTTCAAGCTAGAATCCAATCCGCCCCCTGTGGTTTCCGAGGCCTATGTACAAAGGGAAACTTCGCTCCTGGCTTCCGTACCTGGCAAACAATAAGATTGTCCAGCAAGACACTGGCTCTGTGCAGATTTCAAGTCCTCAAAGTCAAACACGCGGGAACTTAACATACCCGACCCTGGGAAACACATGCAGGGCCCCTCCCTTGCTTGCACCCTTCCATACATCATTTGGGGGGTGGGGATGACCCAAAGAAAGGGTCAGAGGTAGACTTGTTGCCAGGCGCTACAATGGACTCGCCGCACCGCTTTGCGCAAACACAGCGCATTATACCAAAGTTTCACAAAGAACTTTGTTCATGAAACTTTACCCCAGCAGGGTAGGCACTTGCACCCACCAGTTCTTTGTGCTTCTATTAGGAGCTTGTAGAAGTTTGGACAAGCATTCACTCTGGGCTGTCAAAGCAACAAAAGCTGTCAGCATTGCTAAAACGTGACGACACGAAACTCGTGTAAAAGCAGGGAGTCCGGCAGACAACTATACAATCAATTAAAGTGTGCCCATCCCCTTTTGGCTCGGACAAATGCTGTCCACATTGGGTATCCGGTGAGCGAGCGACCGTAAAACGAGACTATGTCCTCCAGTAGAGAGGTTAGAATAAGGGTACCCCTTTTCTGTAGTCTATTTTAGTAGGGGAACCCTCCCCCAAAAAAGGGTAAAAAGGCACCACTGGGGGACCTAGGAGACCGTAAAGCGAGCTTCACTTCAGGTCAGGCCAGGCCCTGCCTGCTTGATGCGCAGCTTGATTCGCCGGATCGTCTCCTAATTCCGTGGCAAGGGCGAGTTGCGACGCAGTAAGATTCAGGGATGTGGTTCTGGAAAACCAAGCAAGCAAGCAAGCAAGGAAGGAAAAAGCAAAATCAAGCCAACCAAAACCAAGCAACCAACCAACCAACCGACCGACCGACCAACCGACCGACCCACCGCCGCCCCACCGAGCGATCCAGCGACCGACCCACCGCCGGCCCACCGAGCGACCCAGCAACCAGCCAACCAACCAACCAACAAACAAGCGAGCAAACAAACCAACCAGGCGCTGAATGGTTAAACATAAGCTTCGGTCATTAACAGCAGGGTACATGGTGTAGTGGAATCACATCCCCAGTGCGTCCATTACACCTTGCTTGAATGGGTGGAGAACTGGCCGAGCTGGAGACGCTTGTCAGGAAACAAGTAAGCACAAGTGCTAAAAGACAAGCCTCACTCGAGTGGCAACCCTGACGCAAAGTTCCTTTTGCCACAAGTCTGCCCGTGCCTCGTCTGTGTCCATGCGTCCTCAGTGGCTGCTCAATCAGAAAGTGACCAAGAAAAGCCAAAGATTATGCAACACAATTTGGGTCTGCCGGTTTTAAAGAACCAGTGGTCTTCATTTCGGCTTCCCTTTAAACCAATAAGAGTCGAGCAAATCTCCAAAGCCACTGGCCTATGGGGGCCGTACACTCTTTGACAAGTCAAATAAATCTCTGTGCGATGGCGTGCAGGTCTCAACAACTCGGCTGCCCCCAAAAGAAACAAAGGCTGTCGTGGCAGCCTTTGCTTCCTTCATCCCCAGACATTTTAGTGCTAAGCCATGATGCTGAGAAAGGCAAAAAGAGGCAAACAAAAACGTGACCCACCAAATTATTGATGACAAAGCAGGAACTGGAGCGTGCGTACCTAAGCGTACCAAGCTTGGAGCCACGTGTGATGGAAAATCCACAGCATGCCATACTGATGGATAACATCCTGCACTTGGGACGGAAACCCTCCAGGAACTGACTAGATGTCGCAAATTTGTGCGGGAAACTCATAAAAGGTAATAGTAATGGGGCCTTTCTGCTGGCCATCTGAGAGCAATAAAAACCATGAAGGCGCCTGCGAATAGCCCGGCGACAAGCGCGCCCCTCGCAAGTTGCAATTCACGCCCCTGAATGCGTCGTTGCCATCACCACTGATTCACTATCTACATTTGGGCAAAGTAATTAGATGGCACCACACGCCAACGTTGGCTTTAGTCATCCCCTTTCCTTCTCCGCATAAAGGGGACTTGTGCCATCTACTTTAACCGCTGGTGGAAGCGTGGTTAGAGGCCAAAGGCGGCCGAAAACAACATGTTATCAACGTGGCTCTGAGCTCAACAGTCACTGGATTGCGGCGCACCAAGTGTGGGTTGATCAAAAGGTCCGAAATACATGGGGTGACCATTAGGGAAACCACCACAAAAAAAGGCGTTCACTAACATGGAAAAGTTAGCCATGGTCATTTTGGAGCCAGGAAACTTGATGACCCCAATGTCACCCAAGCTGCATGGCTGCGGCTGTGTTGCCCAATAGCTCTACCCGTCACGAGCGGACGTGGGACCACAACATTGGCATTTATTTCAAGACAGGGGTGAGGAGGGTACACTCAAAAAACACAGACCCATACAAGTGTTTGACAGCCCGTATCGCATCCCGTCGATCCTGTCGATCCCATTGATCCCCTCTCAGCCGCGATTCCCACTGCCGCAGCGAACATGTCGGCAGACTCCTTGGCATCCTTGTTGAACCTAAGCATCTCCCCAGAAAGCAAACCAACCAGTGTTGCCGCATCCATCCCACGTTTGGGGCGCCCCCCATCTCAATCTGAGTCAATGTGTCAAAACTTCCCCTTGTGGGCCGTGTTGAGGGTCAGAGGGCAAACATCCGTCCAGGAGTGTTTCGACACTGTAAGACACACCAATCCGGGATTTGAGCCGACATCTGACCGAAAGGAGTTGACCACTTCACCAGGTTCATTTTACGGGGCACTGGACCCCAAAAGCAAGCAAGCACCACGGTACTTGATTGCTGTTGACCCCCCCCGCAGAAAAAAAATAACTTTCTGGAAGTTCAGTGGAAAACCCAACTTGATTTCAACCAAACAGTTTAAGTCTAAAGATCCAACCCACTAGCAGTCAAGGGCAATGGCTTCTCCATAACGAAAACACCAACACCAACCTCCTGGACCTTCGATTGTTACATAAATTTGTGTCACGAAAGGAAAATGCCCAGGGCAACTATTTTCGCCCAATGCAAAAAGTGTTCGTTCCCCAAAAACGCTCGTTTCATAAACACGGGCTTCTTGCAAAATACTAATTGTTTCATGTTTTGGATTTGCGCTCAATTTGCGGGTATTCGTGCTCGTTTTGCAGGTATTTGCGCCCTTTTTGCAGGTTTCCACATGTGTCCACGCAACAGACCATATGAGAAGAGAGAAACCGCCGCAACAGCCAAAAATGCTCAAATCCCAATTTGTGCCCGTTCCCGCCACGAAACACCCAAGGGACACAAATTCATGTAACGAATGAAGGTCCAGGCTCCTGGCGAAGGCCAGCGAAAAAAGGCCCCTGGCTGACTCAGCCAAACGTCAGACTCACCTTACCCCTACCCCATTTGGCTTAACCGTCCCCATTTGGCTTCAAAAGGAAGGGTTGAACTCCCAAACCCATTCCAAACCACCAAAGGGACCGGACAGGCCATATTCCGCATTGGGAACAAAACCATGTTGGCCCATTTGTATGCTCAGTGGCCATGGGCAGGTTCTCAACCCTTTTGGTCGTTGACCTTTTGATGGTTGACAACGAACCTTTTTGGGTAGGAAACCCTTTCCAAACAAAAACAAACAAGTGCCACCGGGCCGTGCGGGCTATTGCCGGAGAAAAAAACACGTTCTCAACTTCCTTGCTTCTGTAATTAATGATTCGATTCATGATTTGGCTAGGAACCAGCTTACAGCAAGTCACAGAAGGAACCCCAACCTCTTCGTTGAAACAAATCAGCATTCCAAAAAACCTAAAACACTGTGCGAGAGGCCCTATGAAGACACCCGGCGAGTTTCCTTGTGTCAGGGGTTTCTTGTGAAAGGGTTGCTTTCAAACCATGGCGCATGGTGCCCACTCTGGCGATGGCGTCCATGAAGCCGGCAAAGTTCTGAGTCAGGCTCTGGACAAGTTCCAGACCCAGTGCTTCCGCGCAAGCAACTGCATCTTTTGCACTAATTTGACTACTTCTGGCAAATGGAAGGACCGGTGTCTCACGCCTTTTCCGTGAAGAAAAAGGAGCTCCCAGATTCCTCAAACAAAAGCAAGCGCTCAAACTTGGGAGAAAGGGACTGACCAGCGGCCAGATTAGAGAGGTTAGAATAAGGGTACCAACTCTTTTCGGTAGTCTATTGCAGTAGGGGATCCCTCCCCCAAAAAAGGCTAAAAGGGCACTACTGGGGGACCTAGGCATCCAAATCGTTCAAAGATAGCCGCTATTTGCTAAGAGAAGCAACCATGGGGTTATGAATGTTGCTCGGAAAGGCAGAAATCCAACATGATGGGTTGGTCCATTGGACAATACACAAATTCACAATCCACAGTCCTCAGGGGGAAACAAACAAAAAATAATTGTTATTGACATAGATACAGTCGCACCGAACATGGCGTGCCGGTCTAGATGCATATCGAACTTCATACATTTATACTGGATAATCACCTAACGTGGCACCAAAATGACAGCAACCTAGCTACTAATTTGGCATTCCAAAATGTAGGAACACGCCCACTGTTTTCCTGACAGGATGACTTGCCGAATATTGCTCTATAGGCCTACAAAGGCATTGACTCAGAAGGAGTAGGCTAGGAAATCGGGGTCACCCTAGCCTCGGTGATCTATAACTGTGCGGGCATGAGCCTTGTTGCGTTGCGCTGATTTCAAGCCCAAACTGGGGGCAGGTAGGGCGGGCTTTTGGGCAGGGGCAGCCCATGGACAAGTTGCGAGACATTCTGCGGAAAAAAATACATGGAGCTCAACCAGCCTTTTGGTTCGCATCCATTTCCAGGCCCCATGTGAATTTCCAGGGGCCAGAAGGACGCGCCAATCAATATATGCTTGATTTCCACCTTGTGCATTAAGCCACATCCGTCATCAGGAAGATTGTAAAATCAAGGACAACAACCAGCTGGATGAAACTGTTGAACAATTTGTCAAGTCAGTAGTCATTCTGGGTGAATCATAGTAGTTGATCGGCCGAAAATAAGGGAAACGCCTGGAAAGGACCGTTCGCTGTCGGCAAGCTTTTACCCTGATGTGAGGTGGTCATGCCACTGCCAGATCTTTGGACAACTCGGGGACATAGGATTGTATGAGATACATGTATATATATATATACCTAACATATATATATATGTGTATACATGTGTACACACATATATAATACATATATATATATATATTATGTGAGACTTCATTTATTCAATGCGGTTTCAGACTGCTTGCCCTGTAACTGGTGACTGGCTTTGATGTCATGCGGCCATGCGCTGATTCACGAGGCCCTCCGTCTGGTGAAAGATCTCAAGGAGCGAGCGACCAGCGACATGTACCGAAGGATTGGCAACAACCAGCGACCCAATGGATTGAATGTGTCATGTGGCTATGGGTCAAAACCAATGGGATCCCATTTTGGGAAGTCACCACCCATTTTAGAACCTATTTTAATGGGGATTGGGATGTTCACAGGGTACGGGATTTTGACCCATGGCCATGTGTCAACACACGCGTTTACACCTTGTGTTCCTTGCTTTTTCATGGAGGGTGGGGGGGGGGGGTGAGGGGCTTGGATAGTAATACGGGCCGGGCAAACCCGGCATTTTGCCGGCAAATATCCCAGAGCCTCGAACAATACTCCAGGTGCGGGAGCAAACAGTTCTTGCAGAATTGACGATTTTCGCTCCGACCCATGAATTTCCATGAATACAGTTTCTTTGAACTCGTTTCTGTCCCTGAGGCCCTTGAGTTGCAACAAAGCACCAAACTACAGCGGTTGGTGGACATGAATCCCCTAGTCGATGTCCACCAAGCGGCTTCCCAATTAAAACTGGAGGGCTCGTTCTTGCAAAAGCAAATTGCGCTGTATGGTGTCCGGGTGCCTGGAATCCCAATCCCCCCGGTACAACCCAATGGTATGAGGAATATTAGCTTCCATGTGCTTTTTTGCCCACTGGAGTTGTTGTTGTCTTTGTTTTATGTGTTTCCTTTAAAAACAAATCCAGTAGTTCCCTTTAAAACCAGCAAGGGAACATAAAATATATTCATTTCAGCAAATGGAAGTCGGACAGGTGTAAGTCTTGCACCA